AAAATTCAGTTCTTATCCATAAGAATCCAAAAGGAATCTTGTCGAAGACTAACACATGTTTCTGGGGAGAGAAAGAAAAATGACATAATCACAATGTGTGAGAATAGTTCTGGGAGTGGGATCAGTAGGAAAGAAATGACTAGGAAACAGAATGTGAAGGAGAGCAAGTCCTGAGGTGTTTTGGAGTTTTTCTAAAGCAAAATTTTGGATTGCTTCCCTTCAACTCCCCACGGCCTTCTGTAGCCTTGTGCATTCACTACCATGTGGTTGCACAATGTCAGTTTCTCTGTGTGCCATGAAGTGAAAAAGGTCAGGAAACATTATCCTACAGTCAGATCTGCAGGACCTTCAAAAACTCCATAGAAAATGTACATTCTCTTTTAATTTCATTTTTCTGTGAGCTTTTTTTTTTTTTTGTAAATGGGACCAGTAGGAGAGAAAATAAGTTTCATTCACCTTTAGAACTGCTAGGTATTTCTTCAGTTCTTCATTCTCCTTTTTTAACACAGACAGCTCTCTAGGCAAAAGATGTCAACAAGTCAGCTCCAGGAGATCAGGAGACAAAAAAAAAAGTCTGATGATTAATACTATCTACATATAGGTAGTACTTACTGAGGGACACAGCTATGCAAGGTATTTCTAACAAAAATGAGACTGGGGAAGGGAAGGGTTTTGATAGAACAATTGAGTGGACAAAAGAAGCATGAAGTCAAGACTTGGTGTGACTTCAGCAAGACGTTTGCACACGCACCCCTTTCCTTTCCACACACACACCCCTGGTCTGCTAATGCCTAAACATTTCCATCTAGATAGAATCTCATTTTTCAGCTTCAAATTTCCAAAACATCCTCCCAGAGCTAACATTTTAAAATATGTCTTTTATTTTTATCAGTGCAAATCAGTTCTTTCTCATTTCCCTTGAAGCAGCAGCTTTGGGTTCAGAAAAATAAAAGAAGAAAGCTAGAAAGTGAGGAGGGCCTCTTGGGGGTATGGGAGAAAACTACAGTGAAGATAGAGGGAACTGAACATTCTGTGCCTGATTTGCCCAAGACCAACATAAACATACATGGAGAAATTTTCAAACTTTGTAACCACAAGGCAATAAGAACTACAACTTCTTTAAAAGGAAAAAAAAAAAAAAAGGGAAAAACAAGCCACAATCTTCCTGGGGATGTGTTTTGTCACTTACTTTTGCTGATTGGTCATTGTTTGCTGTGCCTCTTGCATGGCTGCTTCCAACTTAGTGAGTCTATGCTTTTGAAAGGCGATGAGGAGATCTGTTTGTTTCTTCTGGAACCTCCATACCTACGAAGGAGAAACGGGCCTTTGATACTGCTGAGAACAAAGGGACATCTGTGGAACACAGCAGGTTGCCTTGAGTTGCTCTGGCTTTGCCAGGGAGCCACTCCCCTCTCAGGCACTCCCACCGTGATGCCATCCACCATGTTGTGATTTATCACTATTCATTTTGCTCTAAATAATGCTCTAAATAATGCCTCCCAGAACTAAAGAGCTCAGCACCAGGAACGTTTTCACCTGCAGGACACTGGCTTTTTAATATCTTATTTGTGAGGCAAATAAAAAGATTTTCCATCTGTCGGTTCATTCTCCAAATGGCCGCATCAGGCAGGACTGGAAAGAAACCCAACCCAGGTCTCCTACATGGTTGGCTAAGACCAGTTTCTTAAGCCTTTAGCAGGAAGTGGGAGTCAGGAGCTCCAGCCAGACTCCACACCTTGGTACTGATATGGAATGCAGGCATCTGAATTGTTAGGCCAAACACCCACCACATGGCTTTCTAGGACACGAACGAGACTATCCTGATACAGTAGAGCAGCCTTTTAAAAATGTCATCTTTCATCCTGAGCAAGAAGAGTGACCCCCAAAACACTACTTTTCAAGCTCAGAATGCATTCCACTTTGTCTACAATTAGTTCGGACTTGGCTTCCACATTCTTAGCTAGTGCAGAACATCGGGTGACCCATTTACTTTCTCTGCGACACCTGGTCATTTGCAGGTAACCTGTGCTGCTACAATAAAGCACAAAGAGTTACAGACAGAAATGACCTTTTCCTGGATTTTACTTCTGGGCATGGACACATAATTTTATCTTTTGCATCACTTTACCAGTTGCTCTACTAATGTGCCTATCATGAAATTGCTGAGTATGATTAAAGTTAATATTTAGAAAGTATTTTAGCTTTGTCAGGCTCTACTTCTGAGTACACAGCACTATTTGTGTCTCATCTGCTCCCTCCCTGCTCATACTGCAAACCTTTTGACTGGGGTCCTTCCCTCAATCTTAGTAGTCTTTTCATAAATTTTTGATTCACATCTAATTTACAAATTACTTTTGCCCTTTATGATTGAACTGTACTTAACAGCATATATATTCTTTAAAAAGCAGTTTATATACTGTTTAGATGCTTTCATTTTTACTTAAAACTGATCCTATATAGACAAAAGTTTCTTGTAGCCTGCTATGCCACCATGCTGATCTCAAAGCTACTATTTTCAATAAAAGTAAAAACATGTCTATTGCAGAAATTTTAAACAATCAAGAAACAGAAGAAAGTCACTCAGAATCCTGAGTGGAAAGCAGAGTTTGGGAACTGCCCTCCACTCAGAGGGCAGATTACAAACAGATTAACAGCCAAAACCCAGTAAGCTGAACATCTATATCTTATCCTTAGGATCAATGTGTTAAGCTATCATCAAGAAAACCCAAATTCTAGGAAGGGCACCAGGTACACAGAGCAAAGTAAGTTGCATGTGGGATGTCCACATTCCATTTGGGGGTACCTGTTTAATTCTTAGCTACTACACTTCAGACCCAGCTCCTTGCTAATGTGCCTGGGAAGCAGTGGACAATAGTTCAAGTATTTCCATCTCTGCTACCCACATGGGAGACCTAGATAGAGTTCCTGGTTTCTGGCTTCAATCTGGCCCAGCTCTGGCTTTTATAGCTATTTAAGGAGTGAACCAGCAGATGGAAGATCTCTTATCTCTATCTCTCTTTCTCTGTTATCCTGCCACTAAAATAAGTCTTAAAAGAAAACCCAGGTTTTCCCCTAGACTTGTCACTCTGAAAGGCCATGTGCACGGGGATCAGAGCCCACTGTGGAGACCAGACTGGCAGCGAAGGGACTTTGCTTATTAGGTCTAAGAAGGCCTGTTTTGCCCACATACCCCGAAACACTGACATCCGAATCTTAGATCTTGACATTCCAAAAAGAATAATCAATCCAGGAAACACCCAACAGCAGGGCACATTAGTGGAGGGCAAGCAGTTTTTGGCTAATGTGAGCTACTAATTTGCTTAACCTATTTCAAATATTTTCATTGAAGATTCTAAAACTTAGTAATGCACCTCAGTACTTGAAAAAAAATAGCTACAAATCATCCAAATCTCTCATCATCAGGAAAAGGTTGGCTTTTTTTTCCCCCAAAGAAAGATAAATTTTGCTCACTTGCATTTTTTAAGAGGGAGTGATTATTTTATTAATACAATAACAGAGCAGATAATAAAAGCTGCTTCTTGATTACACTTAATATTATCTTGATGATAGTCAGTGTTAAATAGTGTGGATTTTACTAAACACCGTATAAAACCACTAGGTCCAATTTCTTTTCCTTTATTCCCAGACTAGTGCCAGGTAAGAGTACTGGGAATCTAAGCCTTGGAGCCCCACTTGCTTTGAAAACATGTGTCAAGAGACAAAATGAAAGTTCTTCATTAGCTTTGAACAGTTCTCTACCACCCACGTTCCACCCCTAAGCATCTTATCCATAGTTTCATTTCTCCAAAAGTTTCAGTTACCATTACTCAAAGCACTATGAAAATATTTTCAGATAGACTCTTACAGTATTATATTGTTGCTTTTTTTTTTTCTTAACTAATTAATTTGTATTTGAAAGGCAGAGAAACAGAGAAAGGAAAGATCACCCCTCTGCTGCCTATAACAACCAGGACTGGACAGGTTGAAGCCAGGCTGCCGGAACTGCATCTGGGTCTCCCACATGAGTAGCAAGAACCCAAGTATTTGGACTGGCACTCATTGCCTTCCCAGGCACGCTATAGGGCAGCTGAATCGGAACATCACTCTCACATAGGAATGCAGGTATTGTGTGTGGCTGCTTAACCTCTTGCACCACAACCCCAAACTCTAGTGCTCTATTTAAGTAATCCTTATTTATTTAATGATGGCCTCAAAGTATTAGTGTAGAGATCCTGGTGATTCAGATATGCCAATGAGAAGCCATTAAGTGCTTCTATTTTTACTTTTTTGTTTTTAGGATTTATTCCTTTTAAAGATTTATTTATTTATTTATTTATTTATTTTTTAAAGATTTATTTTTATTATTTTTTCATTGGAAAGGCGGATATACAGAGAGGAGAGACAGAGAGGAAGATCTTCCGTCCGATGATTCACTCCCCAAGTGAGCGCAACGGGCCGATACTATGCCAATCCGAAGCCAGGAGCCTCTTCGGGTCTCCCACACGGGTGCAGGTTCCCAAAGCTTTGGGCCGTCCTCGACTGCTTTCCCAGGCCACAGGCAGGGAGCTGGAAGGGAAGCGGGGCTGCCGGGATTAGAACCGGCGGCCATATGGGATCCCGGGCGTGCTAGGCGAGGACCTTTAACCACTTGCGCCACCGCGCCGGGCCCTAAAGATTTATTTTTATTGCAAAGTCAGATATACAGAGAGGAGAAACAGAGAGGAAGATCCTCCATCTGCTGATTCACCCCTCCAAATGGGTGCAATGGCTGGAGCTGAGTCAATCTGAAGCCAGGAACTCTTCTGGGTCTCCTACGCGGGTACAGGGTCCCAAGGCTTTGAGCTGTCCTCAATTGCTTTTCCAGACCACAAGCAGGGAGCTAGAAGGAAAGCGGTGCCGCCGGGATTAGAACCGGCACCCATATGGGATCCTGGCATGTGAAAGGCAAGGACTTTAGCTGCTAGGCTACCATGCCAGGCCTAGGATTTATTTTTAATTAATTATTTATTTACTTATTTATTCTTGCCAATGCCAACTATATTTCAAGTCGTCACAGCAGGAAATTGGAAAAAGTTTTCAGTTAGCAATAATTGTGCCTCAGATAAACCTCATTTGCTGTGATACTGCCACTGTGCAAAGCTGATATACTTATAAATTTTTATTTGAAAGGCAGGGTTACATAGAGAAGGAGAAACAGAAAAAGACTGATCTTCCATTTCCTGATTAACTCCCAGCAACAAGCAGAGCTGGACTGATTCAAAGCTGGGAGACAGGGGCCTCTTCCAGGTCTCTTGCATAGTTGCAGGGGCCCATTCTCTGCTGTTTTCCCAGGCCATAAGCAGAGCTGGATGGGAAGTGGAGCAGCTGGGACACAAACCAGTGCCCACATGGGATGCCAGCACTGTGGGAAAAGGCTTACTTAAGTTTACTATATGCCATGATGCTAGCTCCAAAGCACTTCCTTTAAGTGGAAAAAAAAAAAAAATACAAACCCTCATTAAGGAAAGAAAATAAAATGAAATGCTGAGTTTCTAAGATCTATGCAAAAAAAACCCTCATGACATTATGACAAAGTTAAAAAAGAGCTGTGATAGTTTTGCTGCCTTTTTATTGTTATTCTCTGCTCCTAATTTATAAACTTTATCCAAGGCATGCATGCATGTGTAGGAGAAAACAGTATAATGTGTAGGTTTGATGGCAGCCACAGTTTCAGGCAGCCACAGTTTCAGGCAGCCACTGGGGGTCTCCAAAAGCATTCTTTATGGGGTATTGTATTTATGATTCCAGAATCAGACAATATCTCAGTCTAAAAGTCAGAGTGTGTTCTTACGATACGAACTGAAGAGGTCAGTTTTATAGGCAGAAAAAGGCCCAAGAAAGAAGAACGAGAGAACAGAGGAGGATTGGTCATGTCAGTGTTGCTCTTTGTAAAGATGAAAGCAAAGCAGACCTCCTTGTCAGGTCAGCTACAAGTGTCCTATGTAACTTGACTAGTATCTCTTTCTCTTGCCTTCTTGAAACATCAGATGGACAGCTTAGCTTCAGCTTTGTGGCACAGCATTTCAGTATGAAAAACTCCATTTACATTTGCTCAGTTGGGCCCTGGTCTAGGATGTTAGGCCAAATCAATGGGCTTCTATAAAAATTTTTTTTTAAGATTTATTTGTTTTAACTGCAAAGTCAGATATACAGAGAGAAGGAGAGACAGAAAGAAATATCTTTCGTCTGATGATTCACTCCCCAAGTGACTGCAATGGCCAGTGCTATGCTGATCCGAAGCCAGAAGCCCAGATCTTCTTGCATTGGTACAGGGTCCCAAAGCTTTGAGCCGTCCTCATCTGTTTTCCCAGGCTACAAGCAATGAGCTGGATGGGAAGCAGGACCACTGGGATTAGAACCAGCACCCATACGGGATCCCAGCGCATACAAGGTGAGAACTTTAGCCGCTAGGCCACTGTGCTAGGCCCTATAAATTTTATTTAATACACAGAACTTACTGAAGACAGCACTGTAAGATCAGTCCTGATTTAAACCCAGCACAGCAGCTGGAAACAGCAAGGGCGAAATCACTAAAGGATACCAAGAGAAGCAAAATAATGGGAGCACAGAGAGAACTCAGAAAATTATTAGGATAAGCCTTATGTCTCTGTCCATGTTCTGTTGCTAGAACAAAAATATTTGAAGCTGAGGTTTAAAAGAGATTTGGTTAGGGCCCAGCATGATAGCCTAGTGGCTAAATCCTGTACATGGGATCCTGTACCCATGTAGGAGACCTGGAAGAAGCTTCTGGATCCTAGCTCCTGGCTTTGGATCCACTCAGCTCCAGCCATTATGGTCACTTGGGAAGTGAACCAGCAGACAGAGGATCTTTTTCTCTGTCTCTCCTCTCTGTATATCTGCCTTTTCAATAACAAAATAAAACAAAACAAATCTTCAAAAAAAAAAAACGAGGCTTGGATAATTCACAGTTTTGAAGGACGACAGTCCAAAATTAGATAGGGCTGTTGATTAGCCTCCGGTGAAGTTCTCCTTGGCTGAATCACATGGCATCTCCATGAGAGTGCATGTGAGAGGAGAGATCACATCGCAAAAACAACAAGAAGAGTTAGGCTTGCTCTTTTTCTAACAATCCAACCCCAAGGAAATTAACTGAAGACGCATGAGAATTACAATAATCCCTTTTGAGCACAGCACCCCCAATGACTTGCTTATCTAGTATTAAGTCCCATCTCAGGGTTCTGCCATCTCAACCACACCATATATACCTCCCACAAATGCAAATTTTTTTAAGCGAAGGATTTATTTTTTAATTGGAAAGGCTGATTTACAGAGAGGAGAGACAAAGATCTTCCATCTGCTGACTCAGCCACAATAACCAGAGATAAGCCAATCTGAAACTGAAAGCCAAGTGCTTGTTTCAGGTTCCCACATGGGCACAGGGTCCCAAGGCTTTGGGCCGTCCTCGACTGCTTTCCCAGGCCACAAGCAGGGAGCTGGAAGGGAAGTGAAGCAGCGGGGAAATGAACTGGCACCCATACGGGATCCTGGTGCTTAGCAGGTAAGGATTAAGTACTGAGCCATCACACCAGCTCCCCACCAAAAAAAGTGCCTATAAATGTATTGTAATTCAGTATCTCCTGTGACATTCAAACCTATTAATTTGCCTTAACTAGTTTTTGTGAAACTGACTCCTTCATTCCACAGTATCAGTAGATTTTGAACTACAGCTTAGAATATTTATTGGGAAAGAAATGACAATTAGAGTATCAGCATTTTGCAATTTCTAAATGAAATGGCTGATCTCCGCAAAGTTCATTAGTGGCTACCAGCAAACAAAATAAAAAAAAAACAAAAGTTCTCTCTCTTTCTTTCTCTCTCTACACATACACACACACCCCTCTAGATGGAATAAACACTGCTATGAAGTATTTCTGCCTCGCCTTTCCCCGAGTGATCAAATGACAATGAAGAAGCTGAAACCCACCTATCAATGTACAGGAAGTACAGGAGAGGAGCATATTCAGTAAGTCCAAAATGCATACTATGAACACATAAATATAACAAACGGCCATTTTTCCTAAAAATAATGAAAGATAAAAGACAGGAGACATATTTCAACAGAAACGTAAGTGGTAGACATTTGATGCAGTAGACAGATGTAGATGCCCTCATCCCATGTTGCAGTGCCTGGATTCAATTCTGGGCTCTTCCCATCCTATGGCAAGACCCTTCTGAATTTATTCCAGGGTCCCCAGCTGGATTTATTCCAAGCACTTGCCTCTAGGTGACAAAGAATTCAAAGTATGGACATAGTTAAGTGCAAGAATTAGGAGCAGGATTTATTTAATGTGATAAGAGTTCACATTCTAATGTGAATGTGGTCAGCCCTATGAGGAGAAAAATGTGCCCCACCTCAGTTTAGTGGTCCCCTTTATTGGATGGGATAGTGCCCTAACTGAATATACATACAGGGTATATAGTAGGGTGAGGTTAAAGGCACGCGATGCCCGCCTGGGAAAGTACATGTTCATCTCCATGCAGAGCTCTGTACGTGTTCATCCTGGCCCCATCTTCAAGATGTCGGCCCACGTGTATCATAGGAAAGCTGGTGTGCTGAACTGGTTTGAGAGTAGAGATAGGGATGTAAAGCTGCTGCCTGGTGATTACTGGAAACTCTTTAGCTCCTTTGTTCCTTACCGACTCCCTGCCTTGCCCACATCAAGACAACTGGAGAAAGGTAAACAGTGGCTGATTATTTGATCATATTAACAAATTATTATTTCAATAAAAATAAATTTAAAAAATTTAAAGAAATTATTATCTTGGGCCTGGTGCAGTGGCCTACTGCCTAAAGGCCTCACCTTGAACGTGCCAGGATCCCACATGGGCACTGGTTCTAATCCTGGCAGCCCCGCTTCCGATCGAGCTCCCTGCTTGTGGCCTGGGAAAGCAGTCGAGGAAGGCCCAAAGCCTTGGGACCCTGCATTCACATGGGAGACCCGGAAGAAGCTCCAGGCTCCTGACTTCAGATCAGCATAGCACCGACCGTTGTGGTCACTTGGGGAGTGAATCATCGGACAGAAGATCTTCCTCTCTGTTTCTCCTCCTCTCTGTATATCTGACTTTGCAATAAAAAATAAATCTTTAAGAAATTATTATTTTAATATGATGTGGTTATATTCAAGAAAAGAATCACTGTCTTTTTTATTTTTATTTTTCTCTTTCCCTCTGTCTCTGCCATTCCAGGAAATAATTAAATAAATCTTTGGGAGAAAAAGAAAGTTTTTTTGGCAGTTTCTGATCATTGAAACTTGAGACTCCTTAGGATGAGACATTATGGCGGAGTTCCTCCTGACCTCACAAGTCTCCACTACAACTGTTGTCTCATATTTCATGTATTAACATAAGTTCTTAGGTAGGTTATTTATTACCTAGTTCATTAGGCTGATTTAAATCTTTATAGCCCTTTTATAGACCATACAGATTCCTCTTCATTTTTTTTTTTTTAACATTGCTTATATGAATGGCAGATCCACAGAAAGAGAGAGAAAAAGAGAGAGAGCAAGAACCTGCTTCCCTCTGCTGGTTTGTTCCCCAGATGGCTGAAACAACCTGAACTGGTCCAAGACAAAGCTAAGGGGCAGAAAATCCAGCCAGGTCTCCCATGTGGGTGACAGGAGTCCAAGCACTCAAGTAGCCTTCTGCCTTTCCAAGCACATTAGCAGGCAACTCTGAAGCTTAGCCATCACAAGCTGTGGCTTAACTCTCCATGTCACAACACCAGCCACAGATCGCGTAGTGTCATAGCTCTGTGTCAGATTTGCCTGACTTCTATACTCTGCAGACCAAGTGAACAGTAACCATTTGATCATTATTTCTATACTTGATTCAAATCCCTCTTGTTCTGCATATCACAGTATGTCTTATTATTGGTTCACATGTCAGAATGTCTCCCCTACTGCACTGCACTGTGATGAGCTACAAAGGATGGAGCCTTCACTACGGATCTTGGCATTTTTGGTTCTTAAATGAAACGATGGATAGTCTGAACTGTTTATTATGTCCTTTGTTCTTATGTGAGATACTTTCTGTTATCAGCCAGTTCTCTTGACACCAGCTAGGTCTCCAACAATTTGATTCA